CCAACAATGTAGCCTAATACAGTAGTGAATGCCACAAAACCAACAACACGAACACCACGACACCCTGTCTACGCCAAAGCGTGCGCGTTCCGGATCGCTTATTTTTTCAGCAGCGATCTCCACGACCTCCACGCGCCCTTCAAAACAAAACTGTCGCTCGTCAAACGCACGAGAAGCGGGTTCAGCGTCTTTATCTGCGTTCACGCCTTGACATTCTTTTTAGCCCTTCTAACCGACTCAGTACGCATTTCCTGCGCAGCTGCTAGCGCCGTCGTAGGGCGTGTGGGCGAGGGTCGCGCCCTCGCACAAGAGCTATGTGGCTGGTGTGTGTGGCTGGTGTGTGGTGTGTGGGAAGAAAAAATTCCGCCCACCGGCAAAAACAATATTTGGCATACCTCACGAACCAGATTTTTTTTTTGAAAATCGTAAAAAGTCAAGTCTGGGGAATTTCGAGAGGAATCGACTGCCGTGGTCTATTTCAAACTCTGTGGTTGAATATCACCGATAAAAAGTGAACAAAATGGTCTCTGTAATCCAGTTTTCCGGCCATAACATCTTTAATTTTTTATTAACATCAAAATCGGATAAAAGTTAAAGTCTGCGGAATTCCAAGAGCTGTCCAAATCCGGTCTCAGAATTGTGGTCTGAGAAACATACACCTCAGGAAAAAGTGAAAAAGATTCCCCGGTTATATGCAAATAAAAGACGAACCGAGAAAAAAAAAACTTTCCACAGGGACCTGTGCCTGGAGACAGGGCGTTTGCCGGTACTTTCGGTTTTCTGAACAACCACCTGTGTGCAGAGAAACAAATCGATAAGTGCAGGTAGAAATTGTGGACAATTGGTCCTGGACTGACCATATGACGTCTCGAAAACGTTCATGAGAGAGAGGCAATAGCCCAGCCATCGCCGCAAATATCTAGTGGTATCTAGTAGTACATCCGACCCTCAAACGGAGTGCCAAAAAGACGGCCACTCCTTTCCTGTTACGACCTTTTCTTCAATCGCAAAACTATAGCCTTTGTCGATGTGCAATAGTTGCGGTAGGTGTTTCAATTGGCTCGCTCCATGTGCGACGAAGCCGCGTCAGAAAGAGCCATTAGGTTTGTCATGGCCACCAACAGCGGCCGATGCTGTGGGGTTCTCCACAGTCCCTCATTAGCCACAGCACCTGGAAAGCGCGTCGTTCGGTAATAACCGAACAGCAGCTTAGAAATGGAGCTACAAACTGAAAAACATGCAGTCGTCGATTCTTCCTGCTCGATGATGAATGTTCAGTTTGTATAGCAGCTTGCTTCGGGCAACCGTGCTGGTCCTCCAAGAGATTTTCGTATTGTTAAGGTGATGTAAAGAGCATTGAAGAGATGGAGGTTCGCACAAAGAAAAGTGCGATAAATCTTGTCGCGACGACGGTTAGGGCAAGAAGAAAGCGGTAGGAGTAGTCTAGATGGACAGCGCCTGCTACTCAGTCTGATGTAGAGGGAACAGACGAGGGTAAGATGTTCTGTGCTTCCCACCTTTTCCTCCTGTCGGTTTGGTGATTGTTTACACCGCTTGTTATGGCAGCGCGACGTTGCAAGAAAAGCTGCAAACGTTCCCTGCAGCTTTTCTTCCAAACTTTGTCAATGGAACTTTTGATGCACGCTTTTCATGGGCCGAAGAAAGTTTTGTGCACGGGACTGGCGGAATGCGGAGGCGTGATATTTCTTTTTTTTCACAACGGCGAGAAGAAGGCACGCGCCTTTCATTTGCACCGCGAAATAACCGGCCAGAAAGTATGGGAGAGGGTGGTTGCAACCTTTTTTCTCCACACTCACGATACCCCAAGGCATCAATGCTGGGTAGAGCTAGCTCCTTCGGGGTGGCATTGCTGTGGCTGTTGCCTTCTCCTTCGAAACGTTATCGCTGGAAAACCAAACCATGCGCACACAATCCCTGCGAACTTGAGCCAGCCGCTCTCTTAACGTGGGTACTTCAGGGTCGATCGATTTTTTTTACCCGATGCGCACGATACCCCACGGCACCAAACCTTGGGCAGGAAAGATGGAGCAGAGAGCTACCTCTCACCGAGCGGCCTTGCTATTGCTGTTGCTTCCTCCTTCGGAAATGATCGGTGGACAACCAAACCCGTGGCGGTCAAAAACATCGAACTTGAACTAACCGCTCGCGGCCGTTGACGGTTGTGCACAGCACAATATTTTTTCTCGGCGCATTCAGCACCTTACGGCCCCAAACCTTGGCATTTCCCAACAGCCCATGGCATCACCTCCTTCCAGATACTATTCATGAGGCAACTCGTTAAGTATTCATCGAGATATCGGTAATCACAGCCTTGCCACAATCGATGCTGGACAGGGTCCACGTGTGCGGTAGGGGTAGCAGCTTGACGTGAACCGGTATATATTTTCCACCGTGCAGCTTTTCTCGCCCCTTCCCGACGCGAGAATAGCTTCAAAACTTTTCGGCCAGATTGCAGCTTTTCGCTCCGGGAAAAAGTTGCAGAACTTTTCGTGCCACTTGTAGCTCCCATACTGAGCGTACATTAGCAAAGCTGCAGAGCAAATTTGCAGAAATGCAGCATATTTTGCAACACTGTGTTGCCATAAGAAGCGGTGTAAAGTGCCGTAATCGAACTGGAATGTGCTATTTCTGCGTCGACGAGACTAACAGGCACCGTCTGCATGCCACCACAACTCTAATTCATCACCGAATGGTACGGGGCGGGTTCGAGTTCACCATCCAAGTTGACTTCGTCAACTGTTCCATAGCCAGGGTTTTCGATGTCACAAGTCCCGGTGTGATGCCAAGTCCCTCCTCCGACATTCATGTCTCCTAGTTGGATCGCATCAGAAGCGTGAAGTCGTGGATCGTCGTTGCGTACCACCTGAAGTATATGCTACAGTGGGCTGCGACGAGGCGTCCTTGCCAAGGGAACCATTATTCATCCGAAACACATCTCTGCGGTTGCAGTTACACGGCGCTGTTGAAGAATTGCATGTGAAAATTCACGCGAAAATATTGTGATACCCCACGGAATTCGGTATCGATTGTTGAAGAAAGAAGACTCTTCGGAAACGGGCGTCACGAAGTTTATCATTTCATTGTTCGGATTTTCGGTGTCCCATGTGCCTGTGTGCATCCGAGGCCCCACTCCGTCAACAATCGTTTGCACTGTCGTAACCTCCGTGACGAACTTCACTAGTGTCCATCACAATGATATCCGAGGGTTTCTGTGCCCCAGGCCCCGATGTGAAGCCGAGTCCCGACTCCCGCACACAAGTCTCCCCCGATGAACTGCAATCGCGTCAGACAACAACACGGTACATATTTGCCAATTATCTGTTTCGCTCCCATAACGTTACGTGACAAGTTTAAATCCTTCTCTCTTGTCCATGACATTTATATCCAGGGTTTTCTGTGTCCCAAAAACCGAGTCCCCACTTCCACACATGCGTCTCCCAGGTTGGATCGCATCAGAAGTATGTACGAAAACGCGGGGCGCCGTTGCCTTGATTGTTTGACTACGGGCTTCCAAGTGGGTTCATCGTCGAGGAAACCGATATGCACTTGATCCTCTCCCATTTTTTCAACTACTGAAACGATCATACTCCGAGAAGAACGTTACAATCCAGTGTACCATGATAGCGATCGGTGAAAACTGAGGGCTCCACGGCAACGTGCGCGGCAATTTCATTCCTTCTGGCCATAAATTCATAGCAGATTCGGCGGCATAGCAAGGGAGGAAAATCACATACCCCGCCTTCCACAACCTCTCGTTCCCGCCTTTCATCCTCGCTTCAAAATGGGGCCAACAACGGATGGACCCACACGCCACGTCACGAATTGTCAGGACGGTAATGTGCTTGTTCGACACTTATTCACGAAACCGCCGAGGTTCGTGTTTGGCCATGTCTTAGCAGCCACCGGTCACTTTGGGCCGGAAGAGAGCTTGCGCGACAGCTGAGAGCCGTGGGAACACAGATTAATGCGCTGCCCTAGAAGTTTCTTACGGCACCAGTGTCGCCTCTATCATTACCGCTGCACAACGATTGACGGGGTGCGCCTGGAGGGGGACGTGAAAACGGCAACACGATGCATGTATTGCGTCTATGGGATTTTTTTGCTTTTAACATCCATGGGAATTTGGAGCGTTCACCGCTGGTGCTTGAAAATTGCTGCTGTAGCCCCTTCAAGCGCGGGTAACTGTAGTTTGAAGGCCGGAACGACCCGCATTAATTCCGATCGGCGGACCTCTATCGGCGGACGAGGAACCAGTCCGCGGGTCGATCGGAAACCAAGTTACTTTTGACCGAAATGCTTCGTGGGCCCTCCGCTGTAGATGGTACTCGTCCCCGATGCTTAACACGCTAAAAACTTTGCATAAGTCGGGCGGTCAGTTTTTTTTTTGCAAGAGGGTCGTTTTCGTGTTCAGAGGGCTTGAAAAAGTTACAACGAAAACGGCACAACTGTACAAGCTAGAGGAGCGCGGCCACACACATGGATTCAGCTGATTCCAATTCACCCCACCCGAACAAAAATGTTGCTCAATTGACACCTTTACTCGCAGGGGATGCCTACCGCACAGTCTCAGTTTTTAGCTGAGGAACAACGATCCGCGGTCGAAAGCCGACTTGCGCTGACTTCGGCGAAAGCTTTTTGAGTAATCTTCTTTCGCTGTGTTCAACGTATCATCACTCCAATGCTCTGAGCTGTGCACACCCATGAATCAGCGCTTCCTGAACAGCGTCAGGCACGCATGTGCCCACGAGTACGTTCAGCATGCGTTGGCAACGAAACTGCTATATACCACGGGGGAGACTGCCATACGCACACGAACGAAAATTATGCACTACTTCCACGGGAGGCCAATTGAGCAAGCAGTCGATTTCACAGCCGAGCCGCCCGAGCGGAACTGATCGGACTCACGAAAAGTTGGTTTCAACACGCATCAAGGGCCCTCGCGCCAAAACTACCCCTCCAACCCCGTCGTCTGCTCTCAGGTCACAAGGTACTGGGGCATCCTAGTGAGACGCCCGTGGAAAGCAGTTCACGACCTCAATTGCCATGGCGGCGGCTGCTGTGGAAGAATGCCCGGGTGAGGAGCACATGCGAGACCGTGCTTTGCGCGCATTACAGTTCGCGGTCGTCTCCGGCTTCGTGAAGGACTATCGGGCCACACAAGCATCTTGCCTTGGCCTGTGCAACGCGTGTCGAGAAGGGGTTCCAGTGGAGCGCATGCTTATCGCCGAAGGGGTGCCGCAGACACGCCTGGCGATGGTCCTCCCGAAGGTGGTTCAAGCGCAGTGGGAGGCCGATATCCCACCAACGAGAGTCCTGCAACCTCGAAGGGTGCTCAGGTTGAAGTGGACTTTCCGCACCAGTGCATGGTGGACTGAGACTACCGAAGATATTCCCAACTCTTGGGTACGTGCTCTGACCATGGGGATCGTCGACTTTGACGAGGTGCAATGGCCCGAGGGCATCAAAGAGGTCAACTTGCTGTCGTTCGACAAGGAGGTTGAAGGGGTGGCGTGGCCGAAGGGTCTGGAATGCCTTTCTTTCTGCGCGCTCCGACTTCGCTGCGGGCCTTCGGGCTTCGCGAATAGAGGCTCTTTCAATCGTTCGCTTGTTGGGGCGAATTTTCCTTCGGGCCTGCGAGAGATCTTCCTTGGGGATGCTTTTGACCAGCCCATCGAAGACGTGGTGTGGCCACAAGGGCTCGAGAGACTGTCGCTCCCTGGCTGCAATCAGCCTATTGACAACGTGAGGTGGCCGCCGGCGCTGAAGTCCTTGGAATTTTCACCCCCGTCGCAGATCTGCCTACGCGAAGACCCAAACACGCGTTTGGACGTGCTTGAGCCCCATCGGGACCGTTTCAACTCGCCCTTCACTAAGTTGCCAGCGAGCCTGGAGGCTCTTTGGCTTGGCAATAACTTCTGCCAGTCCCTTGAAGGCGTGAACTGGCCGAGTGGGCTTGTCACATTGGGGCTGGGATCAAGTTTTACGGGGTTGAATGGCGGTGTGTCGTGGCCCCCGAATCTTCAAAACCTATACTTGGTGAACGAGATGGATTGGCTAGAGTACCCCGAAAGCTGCATGCTTACCATCGTGAAGGATTACGACACGGAGAGCCAGTCTTTCGATGCCGAACGTGATGGTTTCGACGAGTGGGACCATGATTTCTACGATCCGGACTTAGATGACGGGTACGAGGACTGTTTCGATGGCGGCCATGACGACGACGGCTCTTGTGCAATGTGAACTTGATATGTTGCCTTGTCTGTAGTGCGGAATGGTGCAGAATGATACGTTGATGGATTGGGGTGCCTGATTGCTCCCCTGGTTCCGCTTGGCGGGGCCGGGTAGAATGCGACCTGCGGGATAAGCGAACGAGTGGGGCCTTAATGAACGTTCTAATAGTCGTCGTAGATGACAACATCTTGAGGCCGTGACAAAGTGTAGGAAGTATGAATGAATACCGAGGCAGCGTCGAGGACCATGAAGGACGTGTCGGACGGAATGAAAGAACCTACTAACGAAGTGATGCAGTCTGGATATTTTCACGGGCTTTGACAATGAATGGGAGAAACTCCGTGTGTTTGCTTGATATTTTATTCTCAAGATGACAAAATGGGCACGGCAGGGATAATTGCGACTAGAAGAGTTGATTGCCCGCTTTGCAACGGAAACGATGATGATGGGGAAGTGAATGACAAGAGTGAGGGAGCCGTGGAAAGTGAAGTGGAAAATGTGAAAGGGGAACGTATTGGAGGCAATGCTCGCCATCCCCCACACGCCTTGCAATTTCTACGTATGGAAACGGAAACTATGGTTTGTGGCATGGTCGATTGAGGGTTTACGCATAAAATAAGCAAGTAGAGGTTGTGCCTGACACATGAAATGCTTCCAGGAACATGCCATGCCTGACGGAGCGGCTTGCAAGTTCCGAAGACTTGTTGCATGTCATCCCCACACAACGGGGCATGTGTGTTGACACCTAACAGGACGCGTGTCTACCCTCTGGACCAATAACGGAACAGGGAACTCGAAATTCAAAGCGTGGATCAGGATAGGGCGTGCCCTAACCTAGTGTATGGTTGACCGCGACTCAAAAGGCAGACAGGCCTTCCAGGCCTTCCAGGGCACTCTACAGTAGAGGGTACGGGTTCCACGAGGGGCACCGCCAGCTATAGCTGGTGTACCTAGCAGTGTACTCTGCGCGCTCGTCAACTCCCTTCCTGTACCACGCCTTTGTCATGCAGCCTCCAATGGTTAGACTATTCTTGTTCCCTCCTGTAGCTGCAAGCGAATGTCCATGTTTCATGCCTAATTGTTGAATATGTGAAACGGTTTATTCAAACACGATAGACAACACACGCTGCTCGGAAGGGGAACAGTTCACGCGCTGCCCAGCACGCCACCTGAGGGTCAGCCTACCCGGCAAACAGAGATGAAAGCAAACATCTCGAGGAGGGGCGCACCCAAAAGCTTCCGCGGTGGTCGGCGTTTGTGCATCCGAGTGATGTGAGTGAAAATGTGATTCGGGGCGTGTGCCGAATGAAGTGTGACAGCAGGAACCACATGCCAGCGATAGACGTATTGCTGTGCAGTGCCTCTTTCGTACTTCGTATTATTTTTCACTCGCAACTAGACAACGAAAGCGTGAAACACAGAGGTCTCCAGTGCGATGGCTTTGCTTCTACAACGGAAGGAGGCTTGGCATCGTAAAGTAGTCCGCCGGTACCGCACGGGTGCACGTGAGCTCCTCGGTGCATGTCTGAACGTGTTGTGAGCAGAAATATAAAGGGCAAACGGCCATGTGCGTGGCATCACAATAAAGGACTTCTTGAAAACCGTCTTAACATAGAGAAGAGAGAGACAACGCGGTCTCGTAAGCAGTTCATTCGAAACCAGATTCAGGCTTGATTTCGAACCGCTACCGACTTCCGAGACCAAACTCCAGGACCCGTCCGCACACACCGAAATTGAACAGAGTAATGACTAGTTGATTACATTCGGTTACAAAACCTGTGATGTGGCTGGGGAAGTAGGGTGACCAGAGCGAGGGAGCTGTGCAAAGTGACGCGGAGGATATGAAGCAGAATGGAGCCAGTGCCATAGTGAATCAATGTCATGAACCCTACCCCCTCCATTCTGCCTTGCCGCTGCCATGCGAAAACAGGAAACTTGCAGGGTTTGCGGCATGGTCGATGGAGGATTTACAAGTGACAAAAGATGTTGCTGGAACATTGGTTCAAGGAGCGATTGTGCACCTGAAGAATTGCTTACCAGCTCCACATGTTCTTTCATGCCAGCCCTAAGCATAAGCGAGATTGTCTCCACCTGACAAGTCCTATCGATGTGAAAGATTGCATTATTTCGTTGTTCGGTATTTTCCCGCATAGCAGCGTCAAAGGTATCAGCCTTGTGCGAGGGAATAAGAAAAATATGAATGCACGTGGTAGGAATTTCGGCACACATTTGAAACATCTCTCGTTCAACTAACAAAATTAGTAGTCTCCATATCCGCCAGATTATTTTGCATATCGATGCGTGGATGTTGCTGCTGTGTATGTGTGTTATCGTCGACGAAACAATATCAAAAGTACGCTGCTGGACCAGCACGAATCATTGTCAATAAATGACTCACACAGCAAGTGAAAGGTAAACTACGCGGGGTGCAGCAAGCCCGTGTTGGGCGTCTGTTGGGGCAGTGGGTAGTCGGCCGTGTTAGGCCGAGAGAGAGAGGTAGAGATTGAGATGGCGTTGGCGTTGGAGAAAGCGTTGGAGAAGGAAACTTGATTGGAGAGAAACGGCGGTTGCGGTGGAGAGAGCGAAAGCAGTGCGCTAGATGCGCGAGCCTTCAACACCGCAACCAAGGTCAAATGGGTCCCCGTATCTGCATCGGTGGTACCCATCAACATACGAAATTCTCAACACGTATCCCCGAGGATCCTCACGTCTAGAGACTGCTGCGAGTATATCTTACATCCCCCCTGCTCGCAACAGTATCTTCACTGCAAACTACGAAATAATACCGGATATCTCAACCAAAAGACGTCTTTTCCTGAATATATGCGATCAAGATTACTTCCAAAATATATGACACGAAAACCAAGTCCAAGAAACATGAATACTGCTGCATCGCGCGTGAAAATAACTTAGCGCGGAAAGCAAAACAATCAAATCGAAAGCCAAACCAAACTCATCAGAAAAATAATAAAAACTCATGCCAAATTCATCACAAAATCACGGTGAGACTCGAACGCATCCTTGGGCAAACTTTTCGTAAGAAAGTCTGCACGCTGGTACGGAGACGGCACGTGAATCACCGAAATCTCCTTCCTCTCTACCAGTTCCCTGAGAAAATGGTGCCTTACATCAATGTGCTTCGAGTTCGAGTTTGAGATGGGGTTCTGCGCTAGTTGAATCGCCCCCTGGTTGTCCTCGAAGACGGGGATGCACGGCATGCCGACCTGCGGCAACATGAAACGCCAAATCTGCCTCAAAAACAAAATCTCCTTCACTACGTCGCCTAGCGCGACGTACTCTGCTTCTGTC